AAGAAACATGCTTCATCTCCAGTTTCTCACAGCTCATGGCTATATTTCAGTAACAGAAGACTAATAGATACTAGGCATTTCTTTTCATATCACTGCAGGAAGATAATCAAACATACATTATCTGCCAGATCTACCTCACTATTCAAAAATTCAAGATGCTCTCTGCTTGCACTAAAAAAAAAGCTAATAGACTGTTTTCATCTTTTCCTTTTTGTTCCATGCAACTTATTGTTAAATCGTAGTAACACTGATAGAATAGAAAAATGTTACATCATTCATATTTACCTTTCTGTTTCCAAGAATTATAAATTGTTTAAAATGTGAATATTGTGACTACTATTCCCATCTCATGTTCAATATCCAAAAACACATAAAATATGTTTACTTAAATGAATCACATTAACATTAATAGAACTTAAAAGCGCTTATAATGCATAGCTAAAAAAAGATTATTATTATTATTTTTTTTTTACACAAATAGATTAAAGGGATCAAATGTTCAAATTTTCACTAGGAAGACTAGAAGATTAGGAAAACTCATCCAAAACTGTAACAACTCAATGATGAACACAGAAGAGATTATTTGAGATATATTCTCCCATTTTTTTTTTTTTTTCCTCATGATTAGGCCATATATTTTTTTTCAGAGCTTTAACACTGCTGCTCATAGATGGCAATAGATAAATTACTTTTTACATTACTTTTCTCAGACCTCCCAATCCTGTGCTTCAGTCTTCCACAGCTGCCTTAGAATAGCCCACAGCTAATCCAACTCTCACACTGCTAAATCCAAACTTCACACTGGAGTTCCATTCGTCTTCATCAGCTATGAAGGGAGATGGTGTGACTCACCACAGCAGTGAAGTCCATGCTGCAGATATCTGATAGTACCAAACTTTTAAACTCCATTATACCCCATTATAGGGGTATGTTCTACTCATTTAAGGAAAAGGTATAAAAAAAATCAAAAAATACTTCTGTATTTGTATAGAATGTATTTGGAAGAGAGGGGGTGTTTCATGTCTGTAGAACTATTCAAACATGCAACATACAAAGAATTCTACTCTTTGAATCCAGATTTCATGATTTGCTTTGACAAACAAAACAGAACACAACAGGATGAAGATGACAACATGCTACAGTGTGCAAGAAAAACATCTTTTCTCTGTAGCCTCCTACAACTGCATCTCTCCAAGAGCACTTTTGGAATTAAGGAAATTGTTTGACAATGGCCTTCTCCAACTGCAAAGCTAAGCCTTCTGCACAAAACAAGCAGGTTTTAAGTTTACAGAAATGTTCTAATTTTAATAAGATCTGAAATGTTTAGCCAAAATGTTCTCAGTTATACCTGAATAATACTTCACATTCAACTCATTTAGGATAAAAGATTGCAGTCTATCACGGAAGTTACAGGAAAGATTTTAATGGCTTTTTCCTTTTCATGAATTTAATACGGAGAACAGATAAGACCAGATAAGCTACTGGCTCTCACTGCAGGCTCTCAGTAAAAAATGATTTACTGTTCAGCAGCAACTTTCAGACTTTAAATCTTAATTTACTGCAATCAGCAGGCATTATTCAGTGTGATGGTTAGTCCTCTTTGGAACACCAGGAGTCCTGCCTCATAAATATCTAATCACTGGTTTTATTTCATTCCTCTTATGTACTCTTCCTTCCAAAGACTTTAATCCACTTCACTTCTCCCTATGAAAGCACAAGCCTAGACACTCCAAACACAAATGCAACTGCTGCACTCCACAAGTTTTTGCTAGCTCACTTTTTTTTTCCTAGTTCTTGTTCTTATATATTTAATTTTTTTTCTATTGTAGTAATACTGTCTCAGTTTAACTGATGGAGTTCTGCAGCAGTTCTTCCTACAAACTGGGCTATACATTTTTTGTCTTCTCTTCTTCATGTAGTGCTTTGGCTTCTCTGCATTCCTGCTCAGTGTTATCATTCCTTTTCCCTGATCATTTGTGGCTCCATTGCTACTCACTGGAACTTTTCTTTTTATTAATCTGTGCCCACTCACAGAATCATAGAATGGCTTGCATTGGAAGGGGGTTAAAGATCAACTAGTTCCAGCCCCTCTGCCATGGGCTGGGTAACCAACCACTAGGATAATTCTATGTTCAGTGCTAGTTTTTTTCTTAAAACTATCCTCTGCCCCTGCTTTTTTAAATTTTACTTTACACCTAGTATGTTTTCACTACTTGTTTCCGAAGCACGTTTTTGCATTCACTGCAAAAACAAGGAAGAAGAATAAAGTATCCTTCTACTAAAACCACTGCGTTCGAGAAACATTACCATTTGCTTTCTTCCTTTCTTCTCTCATTCTGTAGTCGATTCGAAACGAGCTGGATAAACTTGAATCCAAATTACAATAAAGCACCACACAAGCCTCATGATACCATATGTACATTATCATGTCAAATAAACCCGTTGTATAGCTTTTTTAGCTACAGAAATATAAATGAAGATAACAGTGAGGAACCATTTATAGATTTGCTGCACTTTCTACCTTCTCTTTGTAATTTTGCTTTTATTCTGATTGAAATGAATAGAAGTATATACATCTCAGTGAAGGTAGCTAAGAGAAGTTAGCAAAAATGGAAATGCCATTGAAAGGACATTAGTAGAACTTGAATAAGATGACTTCAAACAGTAATAAGAGGTATGTGTACCTTCAGTACTCAGGTACTAAACGTGACTCAGCTGAGCAGCTCAGATTAGCAAAAAAAAGTGAGTAGAGTGTAAAGGTACTGATACTCTCTAATTTAAATGTAAATCCACATGTGTCTGTGTGAACCCAAGATAATACACATTCTTACATTTTAAGAGAGCCAAGATGCAACTGAATTAGTTTAGACTTGAAAGTACAGAGAACTAGAACAGTATGTTTTCATCATGTGACCTCAAATTGTTTTTTTCTTGGTCCTCATGCAGTCATTTGTCCAGAGTCTGGCAAGCGAGAAACATTACTTGACAGAAAAATTCTATCCCTGTCATTTTGACTGATATCCCACCATTGATGAAGACTACCAAGCTGTAATTTTTCTTCTCTTCTTTAGTAAATAAAGGTTTCTCCTCTCTGAATGACTTGGGAGATTTTTAAGCAGTCTACAATTCAAGTTATTTAACTGAGAAAAAGGATGACAGACAAATGATACTATTAAGTTTGCTTCTGACAGTTTGCTACTGCAAAATGAAAATAATTGCAAGCAAATCTGAGAGAAAGAGAAAAATCTCCTTGAACAGGTTCTTAAACAGTATTTAATCAGAAACACTCCAAGAAAGCACAGAGACGTCCTGGGATGCAGTAAGCATACATGTATGATCTGATAGTCTCACAAAAGACATAATACTCTGGAGTGATGGGCCTCCTGCGCAATAAACTGGAGGACAGGACTGCACACACAGGCATACGTGCAGAAACTTGATGAGTATGTCCATCTTCTTTGTCAAACTCCTTACAGAAAATGCTCCTCCTCACGCCAGTTAATACTTCACCAATAAAAAAAAAATCAAACAACAATGGTAAAAGCAGAACTTTCTGATTTTGTTGGCAAGGCATGTATGTGATGGCAATAAAGCATGTGCCTTATCTACCCTTGCAGAGGGTGCTTTTTCTTTTATCCACTGATACTTCTGACACATCAGCTTATGACTTTATTTCCAGGCACCATTTCTCTGTTGTATAAAATCTTCTAGTTGCTTTGTTTCAAACTGATCACTGAGTCATACGATCCTAAGATGAAATTCTTTACTCTTCCCTAGAGGATGCAGGTTGTGCAGCATACCCGCTGTTGTGCATAGTTGAAACAACATGAACTAGTAGGTAACACTCAATCAACTAAGACACAACTATTACAAATCTGAAACAAATGATATAAACAGCTCTGCATGTTTCATAAATAGGGGAAACTCCTATCCAAATTTTAAAAAGTAAGAAATAGATGTGGACCTCTGTCAAGTTCCTATAGAAGCCTATGAAGGTCACCCCTACCAGGAATAGAACCTGTACTTGAAAATATTATTTTTGTATTATGATAATGACATAAATTTATTTAAGGTCTCCTGTTCTTCTGTCCTATATCAACACAGAAATAAAAAATGCACATTTTCCAAGAAAAAAAGATAAAGGCACCAGAAATAAACCTTTTTTTTTTTTTTTCTCCTTAAGCAAAACATCAAGCCAATCCCTAAACAAGAAAGATGCAGAGCTACAATAAAATTATAAGGGGACTTTAAGCCACTCCTAGTTGAGCTGGCGGGCGCAAGAGATATGTCCTCCAGCTGAGGTGCCCTCCAGGATAATCCTCCAATTATCTTTTGATAATTCCAGAAACAAATCTGACCTTGCTTTATAATTCATGCATAAACCTTGAATTCTTAATGAAATACATAGAGAAAGCACACTTTTCCAGCTGTTCTTTGAAGTTACTACTATCACTGATAAACACAAAGTTCTCACAAGTTTCAATGCTTTTTCTTGGGGTAGAATAGATCACAAATAAAAGCCTGTATAAGTCTTACATAAAATGTATTCATATATGTTACATAAATAAAATTACATGTGGCTATGTTCGTATATAAACATATATTCCCTAGAAGTATTATTTTCAAAAATTTTTGATCCTCAAAAGCAATAAACTATGTTAAAAATAGAATGTTTAGCAAACAGGATTTTTTGATGTGCACAAACCTGATAAAAAGGTACACTGACATTAATGTTAAATGCCAAATCATAACTTTTTTTGTCTTCTTTACCTAGCTGTTAATTTTTACCTGAATTCATACATTTAGTTTTTCCTCCAAACACATTTGAAGCAAGCAATGTCAGAAACTGGCAACGTGTCCTTTAAAGATGAACAAATAGAAAGTACATGTACAGTAACACAGTAGCCAACTAACATTACAAATAGAAAAAACAGCATACTAACATCTTTACCAACAGCAGGATATAGCAGGTATATGGCACTGTATTTTTGCATACTCACTGGTTTTGCACTGACAAATGCGGCAACCATTTTGATCCAGTTTGAAACTATAGATACAGTCTTTCTCAGTCAAAGTGCAGTTCACCAAAAGCTCACAGGTGGGTGGACCTATTGTTATGTAAGTTGGCTCTAAATGCAAGAAAAATAAAACAAACATTTGAGATCAATTTGATATTTTAAACAGTTCACAACTGCAGACAATGCAACAGCAAAGAAAATCATTTTTAACAAATTTTCTTTCTGATTCATGAACATTCATGGTACTTAATTCAAGAAATGGACTTTATTTTGAAGTGATATATACTTATTACACATAGTATGAACCTACATAAAAATCTTGAAATAGCAAAACAGGAAAAAAATGATACTACGTTTTTGTTCACTGAGAAATCAGCATTCCTGCATTAAGTTTACCATTGAATTCAAAAAGCTTATTCTATTCATTCTTTTACCAAAAGTATTTTATCAAAACTGTGCAGATTCTTAGGAATTAAAAAGACCAAAGTTTCTCCAGTGCTTAGTTGATTAATACTACCAAGCTGCAAATCAAAGCATGCAGCTCAATAGATCAAATATTTCTTTGCGTGAATAAGATCACTTCTACACAAATTTAAATCAGAAGAGACTTTGAATGCCAAATGGGAATGAAAGGTACAAAGTGTGTGAAATATCTCTTGAAGCCACATAACAGGACTATTCATCGAAAAAATCACTTCTTACAGTATAATTTGCAGTATGAAGTTGTGCTTTTTGAATTTGAAGATATTTTTGTCAATCATCAGACAATTATTTACAATGTAATACTTGCTTTTGGACACTGTTTAAATGTTAGATTATGAAATTTGTTTTAGTATATGCAGTAGCAAGACATATTCATGCACTGCAGTACGCAGAGTTACTAGAATAAAATAAACCCCCAAGACATAAGAAAATAGCAAGCAACCTCAACACTCCCATCAAAAAAATAGGATAAAGAAGGAATGAAAAATCTTATTTTCCAAATGACCTTTTGTTGTATGATAATAATTTTTTCTACCTTATGATTTTTATTTTTATTTTTAATGGAACTCAGCACTTAAGTAGCAAGGAATTTACTTACGGATATTATTAACACAATGCTAAGCATCGCGAAACACAAATGATATGATTTTTAAGTAAACAACCGTGAGCTTTCATTTCAGTGTTTGACTGAGTTCCAATTTTTCCAAGTCTCAAGAAACAAAAATTTTGAAGAATTTAAATTTTAAATAAATTCAAATGGATGAATTGGTCAATTTGTGAAAATATGGAGAAACGGTATACAAACCATCATTGGAAGAAAACAGTGTTTCATGTAGCATGAACATTTTCACAGACTGAAGATGGCCATATCTTATCATACCTCCTCTCCAAACCAAATCCTTTGAATGGCAAATTTTGTCATCCATAGTTGGAGGCAAATTGTCCTTACTCTCAGACTGAGAGTAGAAAACTACTCAACATTTATCAAGATATTAGAAGTACATACTGTCAAACAAAATAGCTGCCTATTTCTCTGCCTATTGGTTCTGCACCCACCACGCAGCTATAACACCCATGCCTTCCACTCAAGTGAAAATTATCCCATTACAAGAATGTGCCTTTCTGCTTTCATTGTCTTGTACAATTTTCTGCTTTCACAGCTTCCCTCCAGCCCTACTCTTCCCTTCACAACAGTTTATGCAGTGGTTGAACATTTTTAATCCTTTTTAAATTAGGTCAGCGAAGTACAGAGTTTGGAGCAAAAAGAATGCATGACAGGCACAGAAGATTTTAGTCTTCTCTCTCAGAGATCATGGTTCAGATTCGTTACTTTTCTGCGAGTTCTAAAACACTATTCAAGTTCTGTTCTGTTCAATTTTTGTAGAAAAAGTGTCTATATATATATTACACATACATAAAACACCAGCTTTGTTTAAATGAAAACTGGAAATTTGGATAATGGTATCTCTGTGCCTGTAGAATCCTCAAATCTCTTATAAGCTGAATTACTTTTTTTTTTTTCCTCCAGATTTTTTTCTAGGAGTTTAACAGATTATTAGTTTGCAGGTCAAATGAGAGATTCTATAAATTTCTGTCAAGTATTTATTAAATGGCTCAGTTTGCAAGCAAGTATGCAAGTATGGAAAAGTATTCTTAATGAGCAATTTATTTTAGAACAAATGAATTCCCAAACTAGACCATTTTTAATTGCAATGAACTCCTTGTATTTTTTTTTTTTAATTCATTCAATAAACTGAGTAAGTTACATTCATACCTACTATCTGATGTTTGCAACTTCAACAGATCATTAGTTAAGGGATGAAAACCATATCGACCAGTAAGATGATGTATTCCAGAAACTTCATTAATTCATCCCATTTGTTTAGGACAAATCATTATAAATTATCTTGCAAAACTTTAGCATCTGGTGTCTATCCTGAAAACCTCCATTCCTACCTTACTGTATTCTTTGAGTAAAATATCCTGAACAAGCTGGAGACCACAACACAGCAGTTACCTGGAAGCTACATGCAGGTTACTAGCCAGATAGCCCAAATCTGGCACTTTGAATGACAAAAAAGCCACAGTAATACTTATAATCAGTGGTAGTTAAAAACATCACCAATCATATGAATCAGTCTTGCTATCCAAAGCACGTGGTAACTTTTCAAAGCTCTCTTTCGTGTTTTGATGCTCTTCTGTCTTGGATGCTGACATATCAGTTTTGAAATGTTGCTACCTTGATACACTGAGTAATATGGTATTTCTTAGTAGGGACAAAATTTAAGGGTTACTATTTTAATTTAAAAGATTTTTCTGAATCCTTTATTTGCTGCGGCTTGTTATGTTACCTCTCACTTTTCTTTCTGTACTCAGCATCCTGAGAGTTTCCAAGCAAATCTCACAAATCTGTTTTTCCTCCCTTCCGTCCCTAAAGGTAAGTCCTGAGAGATACAGTAATTTTATATGCATGCCTGCTTCTCAATGAGCTGTGAGTGAAGGACAAAAGAAATAATTTCATTCCCTACCCCCACATGTGCAAAAATGCAGCCAGAAAAAAAGTACCAGCCCTTTTCACTTCGCTAGACAAGACTCAACAAATAACGCTAGCTTTGCTGCTGCCAGGCTGCTGGCTATTTGAATAGGCAAGCAGTAGTTAGGCTTGAAAAAGCATGTACGGCCACATGATCCCAGTTAGGCTTTCACTGTTGCTCTTGGTAGAAACTGCAGAAGAAAGATCCAGTGTACAAATGAACAGACAATTGGTGGGAAAAACATACACTATTTCTGTCCATGCATTTCATAGCAGTAAAACTACAATGAAGAAAGAGGGAAGGCAAAAATAAAGAGAAAAGGATTGATGAGAATTCACTTGAAAACAAAACTATTTTTTTTTTTTAACAGAACACAGATATTATTGATGTAAAGTGTTTATGAGTAAGGTTAAATGCAGCTTGCTATTAGCGTATCTTGTTTCCATATACTCTCTCTGAGCATAAAATTTTCTATGCTGAATTTCAGTGCACAGGATTACTAATTTGCTTGCTATGAGGTTGATCAAAATGTTGAATTCGTTTTTCATGCTTTTTCACTTTGCTATAAATATTCTTCAGCTAACAACAGGAATTCTGCAGCAGTAAATCAAGGAGGGTATGAAATTGTATATGTATATATGCATGTCACATCAGAAAGAAAATGTTCTTGACTTTATGTTTTATAGTAGTAAAGAAACAAGGCAATAGGAATGTATTGTTCCTCAAATTGCTAACATTTAATCACGGCCTAGTTAAGTCTGCTATACAATACCACTGCTCTCTCTTCCCCTCCACCTTAGGATGAGACAGAAGTGATGCTGCTCTCAGCTGGAGGCAGATTTAAATCCCTTTTTGAGATTCAGACCTATCTGAGGCATCAAACAAAGCATAAACAGATACAACACAGTTCTGTATCTGACATTTTACTCAAAAGTCACTTCAGAAGTTATAAAATCCACAGTGGACATTCCAACTGCTGGTGGACTGTCAGTCTGACCCACTGAAAAAACTCCACAGTGCATGATCAAATCCCTGAATCTCACTCATCCTCACTTGAAGTCAAAGTGCTTTGCGGGAAGACAGCGATATCCCACCAATACCGGAACTGGCTTTGTCTTTCTGCACCTACCTTAGCAATAATGCCACAAAACTTGAGTGTCACAAACAAGGAAATTTGTCAAGGTGGAACAAGACCACATTGCCACTGTCGGTTTTCTAACCAATCCTCAAAGCATTCCTTTCTGCTATTTTCTGATTTCCGAGACCTTCCACTTCTACTATGAGTGACACAGCTGTTGTCAGAAAAAACATTTTCTTCTGTTAAAAATGTGAAATATATAGAAGAGGACAGGATGGTCTATCTAAGTTTTGTACTGTGCCTCTGACAGAAGCAACAGCCATTGTCATACACAGATCTTGTTATACATAGATGAGTACTAGGATAATGCCTGGCTGAAGTATTCAGAAATCGACAGAAACTGATTTACCCATGCTTCAGTGACAGCAAGGGAAAAAGGTTCTAAGGAGTAGAATTTTATTATACACACATTTGAACATTTAAAATTAATGAAAAAGAAAACAAATTTGTTGATGATTGCTGAAGTCCTGGAAAATAAAAGCAAAAATGAATCTGAGACCATTCTTGACTTCAGTTTTTCATGTGAATGTCAAAACTGAACAGTTCGTTGAAGATGTCATGTTTTCTTCCAGCTTCGGAGATTGCATTTACAATCTTTAGTTAGTTATAAAGTGAGATGAAAAAAAAAGATAGAAGTACCCCTAAGGCTGATATCAATTACACACATTTGCCTATCACACCTTTAAATTGTTTAAAATTTGAACTTTGGGTATTGAGTTCATATCAGCAAAAGAAGTAGGATTCCACTTAACTGTATCACAGCAAAGCCACGTGTATTATAAGAGAGCAGTAAGTGTTCAGTTTTGGTCTGTGTGAAGGACAAGAGAACTTCTTATATCAGTGAGAGCAAAGCAAGCAGTTTCAGGGAAGCAATGCTTCTCCTCTGTTTGGCACTTGTGAGTCCACACCTGGTGTAATGTCCAGCTTTGGCCTCCTTAGTAAGAGAAAGGCTGATG